AGTGTCGCGAGAGTATTTGTCTAACATGCAACAATTCAGTTACTCAACGGCATCATTACTTTGAGTATAACTCTACGCAAGATTTGTATCGTATGTTATACTTTAATCTTCGAACTATTTTATTTCAAGAATAATCATAAATAACCGAAGTTTTAATCAAAATTTCCATTGTTCAATATTTTTGATTTCAAATTTTTTAACAAACTTTGAATATAAAATATGTCTACCGAAGAAAAGTTACCCATTAACTAACTGCTGTTTCTTCATAACATACATATCTATATAGAAGTGATTACATATGTTTCAAATAAAAGGATTATAACATGAGAAACAAACTAATTTTCTATAGTGTCAGCTAGCCTGAAATAACAACACACTTCTCCTATTAGAAAAATAAGCTAAGAATATTTTTATTTTCAAATATTTTATATAGTTCTATATTTATATAGAACTATTTCCTATTGGACTTACCGGATTCATTAATACACTATTACGAATATCACGTATACAATGATAAACATTACTTGATACTTCAATTAATTCTTGTTCAGTTAATTCATACTAAAAAAACAACTTTTATTTTATAGCAAAAACAAAACTATTCTTATTTACTGTTCTATTATCTTGTGCAGATTTCATTCGAAGAATATCAATAGCTATTTGAATTCTTTCGGCAAAATTTGGCATAGCTAGATACAAAAATTCTTCTTTTATGTATTTCAATACACAAAAAGTTTCTCTTTTACCGTGATCTCGAAGAACCCGCACACTTTCCATAACAGCTTCTGTATATTCTCCTGGTTCATATTTTTCCATTTCAGCTGTAACTACATCAATAACACGCATTGATCGTCCTCGGATAGCTCCTGCTGTACGATCAACACCTAAATAAAACAAAAGATAAACGTTCCTTTTTTTCCTCAAATCTAAAACAAAAAAATTTGTTTTTCATATACGTACGATCTGGATTTCGTTCAACCATAGCTTGAATACATGAATTAATATCTTCAAGTATATGATTTTCCGAAATAGCAAGAAAATCTTCAATTTTTGTAATTTCATCAACAGCATCAGTTAGTAAACGAACATGTTTTTCCCATGTATCACGAAATATATCCATATTTTCAAGAGCTACTTTTGATGTTGAACGTGCAGCAAGTATACGTGCAGCATTTACAACCTGTAAAAGAATTCATTGATGTTTGACTTTGTATACAGAAAAAAAAAACAAAAGTTTTCTTTACTTGTGGCGCAAGGTTTTCAATTTGTTTTTCAGTAACACGAACTAATTTTATACCTTCAATAGAATCAGACATTGAACATACAACATTAGCAACCTGAAAGAACAAAAAAATTGTTTCCCTTTAATAATAAAATATTTTTGAAGTATACTTCAATTAGTTTAGCTGCATGTTCTATGAAGATTTGAGCAGTTTCTTCAACTAATTGAATATTACCACGTCGTGCTGCATCGATTAAAGCAAGAAGTGGAACATTAGTAGCCACAAATGTATCACTAACATGATCAACAACTGCTTTTCGAAGCTGAAGAAAAAAGACAAAAAAACATATATAAAAATATTTCAAATTAAGTAAATTAAAATTCGTTGCTACCGATATTTCTTCAGTTTCTGTAGGTGTTAAAAAAGAACATTCAAATGAGTCTATCGATGATAATGATGATTCTTGATATAAATTAATACTTGTACTTTTATGTATTGGATTTGGACTACCAGCACATAGATAAACATACATTATTTTCTTTATTAATCTTGTCTTTACTCTTTATTCTTTTCTCTTTATGACTTTATATTCAATGTATGTCGATAGGTTTTGACCGATAGACGTAACAAATTATTCAATCAACGCCTGTGACTGAATTACGACGATGATCATGAAGATGATAACGATGATGACGATATGCAATTCGACATTTACTTGGTATACCTCTTGACAATTAAAAGCGTATATAGAAATGAATATGTTGCCCTTATATATTTTTCTTTCTCTTTGTCGACACATCTAGATGGGTGGTCATTTATAATTCAATGCAAAAGAAAGAAAAAAAATATGAAAGAAAGAGCGAGATGAAATCTTGATAAATAATATGTATATAAAATTAGTTCATTATATTGAATCTCGTTTCCTGACCTCCGAAATCGAGACAACAGCAAAAAGAAAAAAAACGAATGACTATTAAAAATTCATTTACCTGTTTTCGTAAATCACGAGTTTTTGTTTGCATTAATTGAATTTTTTCATTAACATTTTCATCTGAACTTTTCTTTTTCGACTACAAAACGAAAAAGATCAAATATTATAATATTTAAAATTTCTCTTTCTATTCGTACATATTTAATATATTCATCAAGTAATTCTTGTAATGCTTGTCGAACAAAATTACATTCTTGAACAATTTTATCCCGACGATCTTCTCTTGTTGATAATGAATCGGCAAGTAATGCTGCACCTGATATTATATCTTCGAGACGTCCTTCAAGTTGTGGTCGAATAACTTGTTCATTAAATTTTTGTGGTTTCATCATAATTATATTCTAAAATAAATCAATTATTAGACTTCATTGCTTCTTTTGTTTATATAAAAAAACATTTTTTTTTTACGTCGAATTCATTTAATGCTCTTGTTAAATCTCCAATCGTATTTAATGATGAATTATATGTTGATGTTTCAGATTGTCCTTGTGTTATGGAAGAAATCACATTAACAGCATGACGTAATTGATTATAAATAAAATCACGATTTTCACGTGCCGAAGGGATTTCAGGATGACGTAAATAAGTTTTTGCTGATGTAAATAATATTACTGAGGATCGTTTTAATGTAGCGCGTGCAGCAGCTAAATTTTCTTGTTCAGTTCGATCAACTAAATCCTTTGAAAAGAAAATATTTTTTGTACTATTTGTTAAGAAAACAAAAACAATTTTACTTGTTGTCGTCGTTGTGCATGATGATTTAAATCGTTTAGATCTTTTCCATATTGTTTATAATAATGAATTAATTCTTCTTGATTTGATACATTATAAATATGTTGTAAATCATCTTCGACCTGAAAAATAAAGATAAATAAAAAATAAAAATTAAAGGATCAAATATACATACTAAACGAATAGACTTTAAAATAGATTGTACATCAATAAGATCAGCTAAGATCAGTAATTGTGTAACTGATGTAAGTAAAGCTCGAGCAGCAATAATCATTTTTTCACGTTTGATTTTTGAACTTGGATCATCAGCAAATTCTTTTGATAAAACAACCATTTCATCACCTTTTTATGTCCAATTAAGAAAACAAATTGAATAGAAAAAGAAAAGCTTTTTTTGTTACCTGTCCGTTTAACTTCCTTCATACTTTGTAATAAATCATTACGCATATCAGGATTTTCATGAGCAATTTCACCAGCTTTATTAATAAAATTTTCTGTTGCTCGAATAACATTTTCAACTAATTGTTGAGCTTGTTTTGAACGACCTTTTTTTGTATTTGATGGTTGTTCAGATATCAATGACGTTACCTAAGAAGAATAAATTTCTTAGATATTTAGTACTTTTATAATTATAATTATTTTTAGATATGTCGAATCGCATTCTGATTAATGTAAAAATAAATAGCGTAGGTAAGACAATTAGATTTAACAAAAAAAAGTTTCATTGATTATTTTTCTATTTTTAGTCAAGAAAAAATAACATTTTAAAAAAAGAAAACAAATCAAATGATATATTTTTTTGTTTTAAAATAAGGTTAATTTCGTATTAAAATCGTTTTATTATTATTATTTTTTCTTAAAACATGCACATACAAATAATAGAAATAAATAAAAATGTATCATGAGCGAAGTCTCGTATTTTTCAATTACAATCAATTAATTAACTTTGTTATTGTTCTTATAAAATCAAGTGGATTAAAAAGTTATGATTACTTCATTTTTACACGAGAACTTCCAGTCAATGAACAACTCTGTTATAATGTTCTATAATCATTCCTACCAAAATAAAAAAAATACAATAGAACATAAATATTGAGAAAGATGATTTTTATAGAATGTCAAAAAGCAAAAACAATAAAGGTCGTTGAAACCTTTTCGAACTCGTTCCTTCTTCTTGTACCAAAAAAGACTCCATAGAAAAATTCAATTTCCTTATAAAAATATAATTTATTTAGGTTTTGTTAAACGCATTGAAAAGAAACAATTTTCTATATTAATCAACTCATAATTTGAAAATAATGTTCTGCATCACATTATACATTCGAATCGATTATTATTCATTCTATTCTTCAGTATTACGTTTAAACAACAAAATAGACGATAACTTTCAATATTAATATTGATTCTAAACATAAGAGTTTAATATTACGTTTTTCATACAGAAGTGCTCATATGAATTAAACAAAATAATTATTTTGATTAAAAAAAGACAAAATTAATTATGACAAACCTCCACAACTAATGGATCTAATGCTCGTTGTACAGACCGTGTTTTGATTTGAACATCTGTTGGATTAGATTTTGTTGTATAAACATGTGTACTCATTATTTATCTATAAAATCAATACTGAGAATGATCTTTTCTTTATGTGAAAATGTCAATGTTAAGAATGGAAATGCACAAACTTTTCTGTTTTTTACACCAATGAAATTTCTTTTAACTTGTAAGTTCTAATTGGTTAAAAAATTCAACCTGTAAGTATGACCGATGATCTCATCTAGCGATCGGATCTCTTTTTTCTCTCGTTTTGTTTTTTTTTCTTCCTTTTATTTGGTTGTCGAGTGAACGTACACACCTTGTCTTCCCAACTGTTGTGTTTATTTCTTGAGAAAAGTATTTCTTTTTTTTTTTATTTGAGTATGTCTACGTCCTTCAAACACTTTAAAACACTATTTTGTTATTTCGTTACTTGATTTTTCTAGAGAAAAGAAAATTTTATTTTCTCTTTTTCTTATTATTTTAATTGTTTGGTCTTCCTAAAATTTTATTTTAGATGAATGATTATAGACAACGTCTTGGCCTAAATCGACGAATGGAACCATCGACAACATCGATGGGTAAATTTTTTTCAAATCGTCTTCGAGATTCACTTCATTTTGGTGGTGCATTAACAACAAATGAAAGAGAAAATTTTGATCAAACAGCAGCTGATTATGAAGCAACACCTGAACCACCAATAAGTTTATATGATATTAATCGTCCTATAGTAACACCATCATCAACATCATCAACAAATGAAACATATTTTACTCATACAACACCTGATATACATAAATTTTCTCGTCGAGTTGAATTATCATCTGGTTATAATATATTAAAAAATCGTACTAGTTCACGTCCAACACGTTTACCAGCATATTTACAGGGACGTACACCACTTGCTCAATTAAATCCGTTGCCAACAACAATAACAACAAATAATGCAGATGATAATCGCCAACGACGTTTATCATTTACTGATCATAACCGTGTACAACATTTGGCATATAATCAACAACTTTTACAACAATTTAATATTGATGGTACTCGAAGACCATTTTCATCAGATAGTCCATTGCCACCTCCGTTACCATTGCCACCATCAGTAACAACAGCACCAACTTCTTATTATACATCATCTGCTCCACCTGTACACAATCGCACAGCATATGAGCCAATTGAACCATTGAAATTAGTATCAACACAAGAAGATCATTCCATAGCTGATTTATCACGAGAATTACGTGCTGCTGCATATCCAACAACAAGAAAATCTGCAAATCATTCTCCAACACGTGAAACATCGCCAAATGCAACACGTTATTCAACTCGAATTAATTCGAAACGTGTACCACCACGTTCATTACCTAAAATACACGGCAATGAACCACAAACATCAATATCAAATATCAAAATGACACATTTTTATCATCATCATGAACCAGAAAATAATCCATCAATGACAGAAGATCGTTTACAAAGTTCATCAACAGCGTCATTATTACTTGATCAATTTTTTAATGCCGAACAAACACCAAAAGAAACAACAGCACAAACACACGAAGTGATTCCTATTAGCAATGAAAAACCACTACGTAAATAATATTTTTGTTTTAGCATAAGTTTTTTTTCTTTCATTTAAATACAATATAGTTCTCCGACACAGTTTCGAATTCCGTTTGCTTCGTCGCGTCGGGCCTTCAGGATCGGGACGCTTAAAAAATAAAACGGAATTCGGAACTCGCAAAAAATTTGCCCTGTAGGACTCTAGTCGTCATCCATGCAAAATATTTTTTTCATTAATAAAGAAATTAAATTATGTATTGTATTTTTTATTTAGATCGTGAACATTCACAACCAACTGCTATTTTAATGAGAAATTCTTCAATATCAAATGGTACTGATGATACAACAATTTTTTTCATTAACAAAGAAATTAGATTATGTATTGCATTTTTTATTTAGATCGCGAACATTCACAACCAACTGCTATTTTAATGAGAAACTCTTCAATACCAAATGGTACCGATGATACAACAATGTCATTTGTTTCAAAATATGCTCGTTTAGCTCCTATTATATCATCTCAACCTTTTCCAACGAATAGAAATTCTTCTACAATTCCTATTGATGAAAATATATCTAATATGAATCGTTCATTAAATATTGAAATAAATCATCATGAACAAACTTTAGATACTCTTCATGATTTATCATCATTTCATATTGAAAACTCCATTATAACGGATGATTTACTTCAAACATCTGAAATGATTCATGCTGATTCAACAATCGATGAACATGAAGAAAATTATTCTTATGTACCATTAAAAGAACAAATCAAAACTATAAATAATATTCCATTACTTGAATTAGATGAACTTGAAACAAACAGTGATATAAGTGAATCACAATTAGTACCAATTATATATGCAAAAGAATTAGAAAATGAAATTGATCTTTTACAAAAAGCACATTTACTTAAACAACAACAACGATCAATTGCAATGAATAATGACAATGAACGAATTAATGATAATAATTCAGTACCACCACCAGCTAATATGGAATTATTAAATTTTGAAGCACTTGAAGATGAATTTTCTATTTTACAACGACAAGAAGATACACCATTACCATCACCAAGAATTCCATCAACAATGATGGAAATATCATCTTCACCAATACCAACAACATCTGAATCCCCAATACCTTCATCAGAAATTGAAACATCATTAACACATGTTTTAGAGCATAGTATACTTGCGCATAATCGTTTATCACCATGGTTTAAATTACCAACAGAACTTTGGTTTAAAATTTTACCTTATTTAAATACCAATGAATTGCATAATTTTTCTTATGCTTGTAAACGTTTTTATTTACTTGTACAAGATCAAGCATGTCATCATCGAATAATAATAAATCGCCGAAAAGAATTAGAACAACTTTGGTTCAATAGTATTAGTCGACGTAAACCTGTTTCACTTTCATTTATTGAATGTCGACAACAAAATCTTGAAAATTTACAACAATCAAATGAGAACAAGTAAGTAAACTTGTGTAAATCATTTGAGTCAGGTTCTTTTTTTATTGCACTGAAAAAATGAATTTATTGACTAATGATATTCATAACAATGATTAATTAATCAAAACTAACAGAATTTTAAAGTACAAAAAAAAAAGATAATGCTTTTAACTTTTCTTTGCTAGAAGAATAAAAACTTTCGTAGACATCTAACATAATACTTAAGAGTAATTTATTCCTCATATATTTAGTTCTGAGAATATCAAGTGGCTTGAATTTTTTCAAACAATTGGCTCAAATCTTATTGATTTTACAATGACCGGTTGCTATCATGAACCATTTACACCTAATACACTATTACCAATAATAGTACAAACTTGTTCAAATCTTTTATCACTTAATCTTCGCTGGAACAATATAACAGAATCAACATTAAATCATTTAATAAACTTTTCACAATTTATTAATTTACATACACTTGATCTCACTGGATGTCAAATATTAGATGATACACTTTTAATTAATATATTTATTCGTACAGAAACAGATTTTCATTTAAGAAAACTTATTCTTCATGCATGTACAAATATAACATGGATCAGTCTTGACACAATAGCTATTTGTATTCCAAATTTAATTCATTTAAATATAAGTCGTTGTATTGGTTTGAAAAATCTTTCATCAAATCAAAATTCAACATGTTTTCATTATTGGCCTAAACTAGAACATATTGATTTTGGTCAACTTTTGACATTAAATGATCAAGATCTTACAATTGTTTTTGATAATTGTACATATTTAAATAGTTTAATATTGGATGATTGTATTAATTTAACAGATCAAACATTAAATAGATTAACATCTGACTTTCGAACGATTAGTTTAAATAATTGTACAACAATAAGTACGAATATACTTTTAAATCTTAATGAACAATGTCCAAAGTTGCATAGTATAAATTTAAGTTCCATAAGAAATGTTAATGATAATTGTTTATTAAAATGGTCAGAACAACCATTTATTCAATTAAAAATTTTAATACTTGATAATTGTACAGAATGTACAGTAAATGGTATTGAAAAATTTCTTGAAAAACATTCTAATTTACGAAAATTATCATTAAATGGTAATGTTATATCAAATTCAATAGAACAACAAACATTAGAACAGAAATTTCCTAATATAAAATTTGTCTTTCAATAAATATATTCCTGATACTCAGTTTGTTATTTAACATTTACGTCTTATATAAAAGCACAGTGTGTATAGAATTTTTTCATTTCACGAATATTCACGTGTTACTATTGTTCGATTGTTTTGTTGTTCTATTATTTATGTTAACTGATAAAATGAATATTTGTATTACAAACAAAAAACAACAACTACGACTTGGATATGTATATATATATACGACTAGTGTCTATTTTTAGATAATCATTTAATTTATCTTATTCATCGATAAGATAATGTCATAGTTTATGCTATAAAAAAAACTCAAAGAAATATATGTTAACTAGGTAAATGAAAAAAAACCAATCAACAATAAGAGAAGGTTTTAATTAATACAGTCTGTATATATGGTTTGCATTTTATAAAAAGGTTTTTACAATATATATTACTAATAAAAAAATATACAAATAGAATACCTTTCAATTTTGAGTATCCTATCAAACACTCTGTCAAACACATTGCCTCTTGAAGTTTAGAAATGAAGTTTTAGTAAGAAGATTGCTTGAAGATTATGTCAACAATGATTCAATTCCTAGCGGAAGTTTTCTACTAATATTTGTTAGAAATAACCATTTTACACTGTAGAATTCATGATAGCTCTTTTTTTTTCGAAATAATCTTACAACGAACCGTCTAAATAAAAATATAACAATCGTTCATTTTCTGCAAAACTTCATTTGATTAAAGATATTATTCTGTGCATCGAAATATAACACACTTTGATGCTTTTTTTGTAATATCTGAAGAGTGAGCGTAGCTAGAAATCTACAGTTTGGATCATTTGGGAGAAAATCCGATGAAATTATCTCGACTATGAATGGGTCAAGATAATCAGTTTTTATATATATTTTGACCAGGAGTCGTCAAAGAATACGTTTCAGTTGAACAACATTAGACTAATCCTATTAGCTCATTTCACTAGAGGATTTTCTGTGCGGTACTGGAAACTTTAGCATTCGTTGATCTGAATTGTGATCAGTTTGAAGTATTTGATTTCGTGAAATCGAAAGGTAAGTCTTATTTTTAGTTTGAACATGAGCGTAGATTGCTATATAATGATTTCTGTAATTTTACCTATACAAAGCTTTTAATGTAAAAACGGAAAACGTGTATTACTACGGTGACCAATTGATAGTTGAAAAAATTTCTTAGAGTTTCTTTACCGCACGTGTCTCCCTAACATGATGAAAAGCACAGGTGTTGCATGTTCTTTCTGTCTAGAGATATTAAAAAAAAACATTGAGATACATTGTATGTTGTCGAGAATTTGTTATCATGAGTAAAAGACTAGAAGAGAAGATAGTGCCATCATAGTTTAAAATTAATATTTAAAATCGTAAGTTCTCTCGGTATTAGCATATCGTATCATATATTATAATTGTTCGTTTCAAAGACAAAGATTCAAAAAGAGCTTTTAAACAATAATATCTGATAGAACAATGATTATTGAGATATTTCTCTTACAATCACATTTAGTACTGTGTAGAATCAAGCTATGTTCAACTAATGAAAAAACTTCATCAGTTATCAAATCGCTTCTCGACGGAGACTATATTCATTTGATGAATACTAGTGAGTAAAAGAAAAGACTAGAATAGGTCGGTTTTTTGGGACTTCGTTCTTTGGATATCGAAATTTTATTGAGTTTTTTTTTCTCTCTCTCAAGTAACATTGAAAATCGACATTTCAATTTCGACTTCAAATGTGGCACGCACAAAGTTTTCAATGAGAATAGTTTTCTGAACAAATTTTAGCTTTTCTAGTATTTATTTTCTGAAGATATACATATATGAACAAAACTTTAGGATTTTCTATTTCATCTAAGGGTGATTACAGCGCTATTCTAGTAAAATTTCGATATCTTAAGAAAGAAGACCCGAAAAATCAAATTTTTCTAGACTTTTCAATTACTCATCAAATAAACATCATTTCAGTCGGAAAGCAATTCGATACCTGAAGAAGTTGCTTCGTGAGTTCCGGTTTCAATAATATTTTAAGATAATATTCTCTAAAATTCTATTTCAATTTATTTTTTTTTAAATAGAGAAAATGATATCAGCAATTAAAACAAAACAAGTTAATTTTAATGAATTATGGCCAATAGTACTAAGTACTGTTCGTTCTGTTATCAATATGAGTCAATATGGTCATACGGATAAATCAACATGGCATACAAGATTTTTTGGTTTGAAAGACTAAAGAAAACAAGACATTATTTATTATTCTTTTTAATTATATTATATAGATATCTATGATCTATGTGCAGCTACTCCGGATTCATATGCTGAACGATTATATGAGGAAACAAAAAAATTTCTTGAAGATCATTGTAGATCTATGGAAAAAGTTGATAATTTAATATTGCAAAAAAAAATTTTGTAGAAGATTTTTTATTTAGGACATAGCTGAATCTGAACAAAATACACTTAGCATCTATGTGAAAAATTGGACTGAATATAAAATGGGTGCTGAACATTTAAATAGCCTCTATGCGTAAAAAGAAATTGATTTTTTCATGAAAAAAAAAAGAAATTTTATTTTCACTCTTTTATTAGGTATTTAAATAATACGCTTGTTAAGAAACATCAAGTAATTGATCCTGGAAATAATATGATGCTTGAATATAATATAGAGTTAGATGATCAATCACCAGTCGAAATCGGAGAGGTAAAATTTAATTTATTAAATTAGATATTTATCAAATTTTGGTGGAATATTTATTCTGAAAAGCTTTTCAGAATTAATGATTTTTGAGATATTTTATTCAATTGAAATAGTCATGTATCTCAAGATTCAACATATATTTGAATCGATTTAAGAATAGGAAATAGGAAAAAAAAGGATTCTTTCATATTATTTCCAGCCAACAATATTGACAATCTAGCTAAATCATATCTTGAGTATATAATATATCTTGTCATAAGAGTGATCATTGATTATTAACAACGCGTTTATTATCAACAAAAGAGTATTTTTATCAAAACTCATGCAAGCGAAATGATAACCAAAAGCTCAACATAGTATTATATTCCTTTTATATTGTGAATTTTCGTTTGTTTTGTTTTAGATGGCGCTTGATTGCTGGGCAAAAATTATCATAAAACCACTAGAAGAACGACTTGTTACATTACTTCTCGAACAAATATATCTGTTTGTAGACTTCTTAGTTTTCATCTCGATATTTATTTATTTTTTCTATCTTTTAGTGATCGTATAGGAGAATGTATAAATCAAACAACAATAAAATGTGTAATTATGTCATTTGTTGATGTTTGTCAATATCGAAAGATTAATATATTAGAAGTAAAAAAATAAAAATAAAAAGCAAATTTTTTTTTTTATACATAAAAATAATTGTCTGTAACTTTTTATTGAAGCTCTATGAAAAATCTTTTGAATCTCGTTTTCTTCAAGCAACAGGAGAATATTATCGAGAAGAAGGAAATAGTTATTTAGCTAAACTTGATTGTATTCACTATATGAAAAAAGTAAATTTATGAAATAAAGTATTTTTTTTCTTTGAAGTTTTTCTTATACAGATTTTATTATTAATCGATGATGAAGAATTTCGTAGTCGTAAATTTCTAAATTCAACATCATATATCAAAGTAAATAGTGAATGTCTTCAACGTCTTGTTTGTGATCATTATGATACATTAAAAAATAAATGCAATGATCTTATTCTTAAAGAAGATTTTGATGGTAATCAATAATAACAATTATCTATGTTAGACATTTTTCTATTGTATTCTTTATTAATTTGTTTAAGCTCTTCAAAACATGTATAAATTACTAAAACCAACACATATTGGTACAAATTATATGGTTGAACAACTACAACATAATATATCACGTATTGGTCATGAAAAAGTTCAATCACTTAAAGGAGAAAATGTATGTGATTATAAATGAAAGAATTATTTTTAAAAAAATCAATTTCTTTTAGTTACCAACATTATTTGTTGAAACATTACTTGAGTTACATACAAAATATATAAATATAATACGAAAAACATTTGCTAGTGATCCAGATTTTATTTCATCACTTGATAAAGCTTGTGCAATAATTGTTAATATGAAAAATGGAAATCGTTTATCAGCTAAAGCACCAGAATTAGTATGTTTTTTTTTTTGATTTTATGAAATTCTTTTTATGATTTTAATTTATTGTGTATTTAGCTTGCTCATTATTGTGATAATTTATTACGTAAATCATCAAAAACATCAACTGAAACTGAAATAGAAGAAAAATTACTTCATGGAGTTACTATATTTAATTATTTAGAAGATAAAGATTATTTTCAACGTGTAAGTTTTGTATAAAACACAGACAAGATATTGAATTTAGCAATTGTAGTTCTATCAAAAGATGCTAGCACGCCGACTTATTAATCAACAATCAACATCTATTGATGCTGAAGAATTTATGGTCACAAAACTTAAGGTATTTTGTGTCGTTTTTCTTTTCTTAGGTACAATGATTTTATAGATGGACTAATAGAAGAACCTCACTAAATAATAAATGGTTTTTGAGATTAATCGTAACTCATTGATTAGATTCCATATTTAGACTAGAGAACAATGATGAAAGGTGTCTGAAATCCGTACAGGTTCCGTCTGTGCTAGAAAAAGCCTAAAAAGACTTTTACTATTGGGTCTTTTTTTTTTTTGAGTTAAGGCAATTTCATCGAATTTTTTGATAAAATACTAAGATACTCCTTAGATCATCCTCAAAACTAACGTCAAATGTCACACTAATAACACCTCTATCAGTTTGCGATAAAACTGTCAGACTTTGTCAGTGCCTCTTACCCTGGGAGAATAATATTGGAAATTCTATTATGAAAAACAGCAAAATACATTTTTATATTTGTTTCTTAAAATAAGATATACTAATATACTTGATACATTTATAACTAATTATTCCCATTGAGAACTTTACTTATGAAAAATTGGAAATCAATTTCAATATT